AATTATTTTCAGACTTTATTATGTAACTAGAGGGCTCAACGTGGAAATAAGATAAAATTTAGTGGCCAACAATAAATAAATAAAGAAAATAGTTTGCCAACTCCTACAAAACGTTTATATTTGCCAACATAAACTTTTTTATTCAACAGTAAATTTAGTTAATTTCTTTGTAGGGAAAAGGAAAAAGACAACAAGAAATAATTACATTGCATATGTTTATAGTTATATTTCTAAATTTTTATGTCNATTTCTTCATAATATCAAAAAATATTCGTGTTTAATTTCGAGTCAAAATTTTAGTTTTTGATTAAATTTGCCATATATATACAATTAATATTATCTTTGACTACACAGAATTTAGATATTGTGCTACTTATATCGTTGAATTGAACAGTTTTAGAAACTATACTAACCGTGTAAAATTATCTCGTATATAGAAATTGAGAAAATACAAAAAATATCCACAAAACTTTTGCCTACCCGTTGTTAGTAGAACAACACAACTGTGAATTCTTTAACACAAATTTTTTATTTGGATAGTATGTCATATATATACCGTTGAATTGATTTTTTTCAGAAAACTATGCAAGTTGTGTAAAATCTGTACTTATAATTGCGAAGTCAGAAAATCCTACGTGTCGTCTCCACGGCAAGTTTAAGAGTTGATTTGCCAAGAATACTCTTAATGAATTCTATTCTATACTTATAATTGCGAAGTCGAAAATCTTATGTGTCGTTTTCACAGCAAGTTTAAGAGTTGATTTGCCAAGAATACCCTTAATGAATCCATATAATTACATGCATTGTCATCGATTTTTCTTTAACTAAAATATCCCTAATTCGTTTAGTGATTATTAATTGGGTTCGAGCCCATTTTATATCGTGATCCATAAACTAAATTTGTTTTATTGAAAATCTTAGCCACTATCTCTACGATTTCTTATATATATGTGAGTTATCATCTAATACCTATTATATTGACTGTTTCGGGACACGAACCATCGTTTTTTGATACCATCTTCTCTTCTAAGCTTATGATTTCTCACATCCCATCGTTTACAAATGGTTTTTTTGTAGATGTTTCCTCTTTATTTCAGGATCTCCCATAGATGACTTCTCGAAGAAGGAATCTGCCATAGCATTTCAGATTTTTGTGAGTGGCGGATGCGAATGGTAAAATAATAAAGTATCTTTGTTAAACTCTTTCGCTCTGTCTCCAAGAACAACATGAACTTTTCGATCA